GCAGGTGGATCTTTGTGAGTTCGAGGCCAGCCTGGTCTACAGAGTGAGATCCAGGAAATGCACAAAGCTACATAGAGAGACCCTGTCTCAAAAAAAAAAAAAAAAAAAAAAAAAAAAAAAAAAAAAAAAAAAAGATTTAACAGACATACACAGATAGTTCTTATTATGTTGTATAAACTATAAGCAGCTGAGCATTGTTTGCTTTCAGTACATCCTGGCCAGCAGTGTGTCATCTCATAACTTTAGGTGTCGTTCATTGATAGTTGTTATAGCAACTCAGACACTGCTTTAATAGCCCAGGATTGTTCACGAAAGGCTTTTAGGTGTCTTGCAGTTTTCTTCCAAGAAATTAGAAGCTCTACATTACAACCAATACCTAATGCTCACTTAATTCAGTACCTCTCTGTGGTTCATTTGTGTGCAAACTGGTACAAGAACTGGTTAAAATAGGAGACCCCAGGGATCCAACCCTGTGCATTCACACAGAAAGGAATCATGACATCTATGTGCTTAACAATCACTACCCAGAATATAAGCTTTAGAAACAGAATTAGACTGGCTGAGAATGAATTCTAGGGTCTGTGATGTGTGGGTGTGTGGGGGAAGCTCATGGAAGAAAGAAGGTGTATGTTTCGGTATGCCACAAGCATTTTGTTTATGTGGATGTGTGAAGGGAAAGATGGTAGCTGAGGAAATCCTTGACCTGCAGACGTTGTGGGAAATGGGAGTATTTTCCTATGGTCAGATTGAACTTCATTTTCTTAGTGTTTTTTCCTTGGGTGGGGAAGTAGAAAAGCTTGTATAATATTTCTTCTTGAAGCCCAATCCTCATATGGGAATGTTAGGTTTAGTTAGTAGAAAGAGATTTATGAAGGTTAGGAAATATGTTAGGTGTGAGTGAGGGCACATTTGAAACCCAAGACCCTGGAGATTTCTCTAAGACAAAGAAGAGACCCATCTATCTAGAATTGTTTGGATTAAGGCTCCCTGCTACTATGGGGGCTTGGGGGAGGGATTCTTACATCCCCAGGGATGCTTTCGGCTCCATCTTCATAATTCTACATGAGTAATCAGCCTTTGGCCCAGCTAGTCCTTAGCTGGAATTCTGTCTGTATTCCTACCTCTGCAGTCACTTTCCTTCTATACAGATCATGTGTCAATAGATTTTTAGGTTCCTCTTCTCCAAAGCTATTTTGGAGGCTTTTTTGTTTTATGATTAAAAAATAATAATAAAAAGTAGATAGTGTAGGTAATTTGAACTTAAGTTACAACAACTCAAATAATGCAAGAAAGGTGTATGCAGAGAGACAATGAGACAAAGATAGAGATAATGGGAGGTGAGGGGAGAGGGAGAGACAGAGAGGAGAAAAGAAGAGGAGAGAAAGAGGAAAGAGAGGAGAGAGAGGGGGAAGAGGGAGAGAGGGGAGAGAGAGAGAGAGAGAGAGAGAGAGAGGGAAGGAGAGAGAGAGAGAAAGGAAGATCTAGAAGGGGGAGGAGGAGGAGGAATCCATAAGTTTGTATCTAAACTCCTTTTCAGATAGGGTAGAATGTATTTTCCTCATTCTAATTCTTTAAGGATATAGATTCTTAGGGAGTCCTCTTGTTTTCTTCTGATAGTTTATTTTTATTATGATTATTTCTGTAGGATTGTTCAACTCACATTAATCTGAGTATTTGGATCTTATAGAATACCTTCTCATGTCTAACACTTAGCAGGAGATTCCTTATTAAGTACAAATTACCCCAGCAGCTAATTAGACCTTTGCTTCATGTACAATGCTTTTGGGGTGGGATCCAAACAACAAACTATATAGAATTTCTAAGTATTTAATCTTTTCTTTGTGTGTTAGAGCATCAGTGTTGAACAATCCAGTGTTGAGAGCATTGCACATTTGCTTGTGAATTTGAATCCTGACTACTGGTTTTTGACATAAACATTCCTTCGGGTGCTTGAGATGCAGCTCAGTACAATGCTTGTCTAAAGTATCTAAAGGATAAAGTACTGGATTCAGCCCCCAGCATCTCATAAACTGGGTGTGAGACACTGAAGGATTAAGAGCAGGATGATCTGGAGTGGAGTCATCCTTGGTTACATAGCAAGTTCAAGGCCAACCTGGGTTAAAAGAAAAAAACAACTCTACCAAACATTAGTGAGACAGCCACAGTGGATATTTGAACATGTTGCCTTGATTAGCTTGCTTCTCAGATGATCAATAATGAAAAGACTTTTTCATGGGGGCTGTTTTGAGGGTTGAATGTGCTGTGGTGTAGTGTGCTATAGACAGTAAATAGTGAAAATAAAGGGAGGGCTCTTAACATTTTAGTATTAAGTATAATATTAATACATTGATACCATAAGTGTTAGTTAAATCTATATGGATTAGCATTTCTTGGAGATATTGTCCTATGTATTTTCATAAAGACTGAGATTTGGGAGTGTGATCCTTTTATGTTTATGCAATTTATTCAGAACTGTGATCACTTCTAACTCTGTGATGAGGTTTTTGTGCCCATGTGTCATTTTATCTACTTAAGGAACCTCTGAAAAATAATCCCTGCTGTTACATACCCTGGAACTTTGGAGGTAAAGTTGCCTGTTAGAGAAGGTAGTTCTATCAAAAAATCGAAGCCCCAAATTTGAAACATCTGGCTTTGAACTCATTAGTATTTAAGATGCAACTAATGATCTCTTCACCCCTTAACGTCTGTGTTTGCAAGAGAAAATGAGGGGAAGAAAGTCTCTAGGAAAAATATTGATTCCCCTTCAGCAAACCCTGTTGGAACTCACTGTTGTAGGCCTTGTTATTTTTAAGTGTCTGGATTTTCTTTATGAATTCATTAAAAAATATTTTAGCGGCTCTGGTGGCCTAGTATCTCATTCCAACATAAACTTACCACAGGAGAACACATACTGCTTGGCTCACCTTTTCATTTCATGGCTTAATAATAATGACAAATTACAGGTGCCAGAGTGACGTTAGATCCCCTAGCATAACTGATTCAATGTTCAAATATTCTCTTTGCTCAGAAGTTCTTTACAGTAAGTTTTAAAAGCTGTATTTGCCTTTATTTTGTGTGCATGAGTGTTTTGCCTACATGCATGTATGGGCTCATGTGCAAGCAGTGCCACGGAGGTCAGATACCCTGGAACTAGAGCTATGGATAGTTGTAAGCTGCCACATGGGTCCTCTGCAAGAGAAGCAGAAGCTCCTAACTGCTGAGCCATCACTCCCACCCCTATTCACAACTTCTAAATATATTTGGCGTTTCTCTTATAACTGGAAGTTTGTGACTCACATGCTGGAATCCTGTTTCAAAAGCTTGAAACTGATGTCTCCTTTAATTATTGCTAGCAACTTAGACCTGTTCTCTTGTCTCACTCTCAAGTTGGCAGAATGAATTATATCTATATTGTTTATTTCAAGAGACACATTGTTCAGCAGACTCAACTGTCACAAAGAGAGGATGTCTCTCTTCATTGGCAATCATCTAGGTCCCTTGATTGTCCCCAAGATGAGTTGTCTTTTCCTCCATTATAGTCCATCATGAAGTCTTCAGAATATGAAATATTCAACCAATTTTTGGAAGTTTATTTTCAGTTATTCCTACACAGTGTATAGAAACCTGCTGTATAATACTAGCCTTATCCTTGCTGACACTCATAAAGTCATCTATCGAGTTACTGCTGCTTCATTGTAGGCTTCCTTTGAAAGTTCTAAGGATGTGAACTGAACGCGTTGTCAGTGAACACTGTGTAGTTTCTCAGTTCTCATTTGAATGCTCCCCCATCTTATTTGCATTGGCTAGAAATCAAATACCATGTTGAACAGATGTTGTTAGAAGTGAAATCTGCCTGGCTTCTGAAGTTATATCGAACTGGTACTTTATCATTAAGTCTGACAGCAGAAGTTGTTCCACAAATGTCTCACTGAAAGTGACAGAGCTCCTACTTATTTCTAGTCCACTGAGCCTATCATGTCTATCTAAAATGAGTCTAAGAGGCTGGGGAGATGGCTCAGTGGTTAGGTACACTTGCTGCTCTTACAGAGGACTGAAACACAGTTCGCAGGACCTCCACAGTAGGTCACAAACATCTGTAAGTCCAGCTCACTGCAGTGTTGTAGCAGGAATCTTAAAAGTTCTTATTAATAAGAACAAGCCTGGGGCCAGTTATTGGGGTGAACGCTAGAAGGTCAGAGAGACAGAACAAGCCACAGCTAACTTCACCTGGCCAACTTCTCAGCTGGTCCTGTTTCCTCAGACTGGAAGCCTCTGTGTCCTCATATCCAAACTGCTGAACTGTGTTGCTCCAAACCTAAAAGCTTAACCAGCCAAGTGCTTCTAGTTTCTGGTTCTCACGCCTTATATACCTTCCTGCTTTCTACCACCACTCCCTGGGATTAAAGGCTCGCCTTCTGGGATTAAAGGTATGAGTCACCATGCTTGGCTGTATCCTTAAACAGATGGATTTCTGCCTCTGGAATGCTAGGATTAAAGGCCTGTGCTGCCACTGCCTATCCTAAGTATCTAGTGGCTTTTCTGTTCTCTGACCCCAGATAGGTTTATTAGGGTACACAATATTTTGGGGAACACAAAACCACCACACAGTGTATGTCAGGCAGACTGACTGCTTCGAATGAGGAATAATGTCAAAGCAGAAGGCTCACTCTGTATACCGGGTCAGTGTACCGAGACAAGGCTGAGACAGTCAAACCCCAGGTACCCACTGCCAGTTGGTGGATCAAATGGAGAACAGAGTAATAGTAAAGTGGGTAGCAAGGCTACAAAATGGAAAGGCCCCTATCATTGATTCAAACAAGTTGAGTTCAAGTCCAGATATAGTGACTTACTATTGCACCTGTAATTGATATTTTTCCTGTCTTGGAAGAGGAACTTGGATCTTTCTACATCTGTTTTCTCATTTTTAAACTTGGGCCATATCTTCCTTTCCCTTGCAGGAAGTGGAGATTGTTGGCCGCACAGTTTAGGGTGCACAGTGGGAGGCACTGTCTGCGGTATGACTTGAAGCATCTGGTCACAGTGCATCCACACATGCAGGAAGAAGACAACGAGGAATGGCCCTGTTCTCCTCACTTCCTCTCTTTTGAAGAAATGCAGTATAGAATTGCAGCCCATAGGATGGCACCACACACAGTAGACAGGCACATCTTCCTACTTCACTTAACCTATTGAAATAGTCCCCCCACAGGTATGCTCTGCATGCTCTGCATCAGTAGGTCCTTTGCACAAGACAACTTTTTTTTCTGTGTGTGTGTGTGTGGTGGTGGGGTCTTCTAGATTTATAGAGAAATCTTGGGGTTGCTTTTTGATTTCCTAATTTTTACATTCATTCATTGTATTAGAAATGCATATTTCCTGTAAAGAATGATTGGCTAGGGAAGCTAAGGTTGGACTCCAGGGTCTGGGACATCCCATATAAGCACTTTGACACTGACTTACCTCTTAGATGTCCCCACTTTGTCTTTTTGTTTGTTTGATGCAGGATCTTACACTGAAGCCCTTGGTGGCCTGGAATTCATTATGTTGCCCAGGCTGGCCTCAAACTTGTGTAATACTCCTGCCTCTGACAAGGTTGAGATTATAAATGTGAGTCGCCACAGCTGGATAAGTCAAAATGACTTTTTGAACTATCTTCTCTCTGTCTGTCTGTTCCGTGTGTATGTGTGTGTGTGTGTGTGTGTGTACATACATGATGTAGACATGCATATTATATAAATGTAACTGTGTATACGTATTAAGTAAACATGTGGAGACCAGAGATCAACACTGACTGTCTTCTTCTGTTACTCACTGCTATATTATTTTTAAGCTCTGTGAAAATTAATTTTTATTAAAATAGATTATGTAATTTCCTCCATTACCTTTCTTCCCTCCAACCCCTCCCATGCTTTCCATGTTTCCTCACTCTCTCTCAAATTGATGATCATTTCTGACTATATTTGTTACAGATATGTGTCTGTATATATGTATGTATGTATATATGTATAGGTATGGGTATATATGCATAACTCTCTATATAAAACCTGTTGTGCCCATTTGGTGTTGTTGCTTGTGTATATATGATTTCAGGACTGACCACTCTGTATCGGATAACCAATTAGGAGGCTCGTCTTTGGGAGATGCTGATTGGCAAAGAAGCTGTGTTGCAGATGTAACTGTTGGGTATGGGTACCTGTGATCTGTTGATCTATGCTATGTTTCTCTGTAATGGTCTTCATTTACTGTAACAAGAAGCTTTTTTTGGTGAGGGATGAGAACTGTACTTCACTGTGGGTATAAGGATGGATTCTAGAATGCAGTTAGGATGGATGCTGGTCCAGTAACGTGGTGACAGTAGGTGCTCCTATAAGATCCATTACCTCATTAACCCTGGGTAGTGGGCTGAGCTGCTAGTTTGTCTCCACTTTATTTCTAAAGCAGGCTCTTTCACTGAACGTGGAACTTACTGATTCAGATGGACTAGCTGACCAGCGAGCTTCCAAGATCCTCCTGTCTCTGCTTCTTGAGCACTGGAATTACAAGTCACATGTCTGCCTTATTTCATGGGTGCTGGGGATGCAAACTTGGGTCCTGCTATTTGCTCAGCAAGCACTTTACCCACTGAGCCATGTATCCAAACCATTGTTCTGTTCATAACAGCTACTCACCATTGGTCATTAATCATGTTACTGAGCTACAGTGAATATTCTCTCCCATGTTGATGCATGCATCAATTCTTTGCCATTTTTGATGCCTACCTTGCATCTCTGGATTCTGGTTCTCCATATGTGTCCTTCATTGTGTCCTGGACATCACGACAATCTGCTTTCAAGGAATCAAGGATGACAGCACATTACTTGTAAGCAGTCCATCTGTTCACCACCTCCCCACCTCTGCACCACTGTGGTTAAATTGTCTTTACTTCACCATTTTACTGGCTGCCAAAGATGAAAGTAATCAAAATCCATAAATCTTGAAATGCTTCCATTAACCAATCAGAAGCTGTCGTTGCTCTCACAGCTGCTCTAAGAGGGGCCATTTTTGGTAGCTTAAACTAAATTCTTATGTATCTGTCCACTGGGGATAGATACATTTTAGCCAGTTAAAAGAGTTTTCAGCTCTGCAGTTAGTTCTAAGAGTGAAAAGAAAAAAAGAAAAAAAACCCTCCTTTCTGCACCTTTCAAAATCTAAAACAGGTTTGGCAATTTTCTTGTTTCTTCTTGCAAGTTCTAGAAGTTGATTACACTTACATATCTCAAACCCAGTGAAGGATAAACAGGCTTTGAAATCTCATACTTGGAGACAAAGGAACCAGGAGAGAATTTGTAACCATCCGAACACATCAGGCAACATTGAGATGGGTGGGGCAGCCATGACTGACACATGTCACAGAGAGATTCCCTCCTGCTCTTTGGCACAGACTTTGACATTTAAATTGCAGGCAGCCCTGGGTCTGTCCCAGGAGCTGCCCGTGGTTGAATGCAGTTCTGATCACTTACTTGAGGGGCGCAGTGGGGATAACGAGGGGGAAAAAAAAGAAAAATCAAATTGTTCTAGGAAATCATGTTTAATGTAGAAATCTGGTTAATATTAAAATGCAATCTGCAGTTTTCAAGTATTCTATTCCTCAAGGAAAATATCTCCTGTTCAAGGGACTGGAGCAGTAAGTAAGCACCCTCTTATTACATCACTTCCTATGTCAGGCCCAACTAACATTCAAAACGTATTACCGTATTGATAATGCTAATTTTAAAATGATGCCTTCTTTTTCCCTTTGGTTAAGGGGTCTGGGCAAAATTCCAATCATATGGATCAATTTAGCTCTAGACGGAGCTTGCTCAACTGATATTTCACGCACTATATAGAATGTGGTTCTTCCACATGCTCAGGAATAGGAGCCCATGTCTCCCCACTAACCGCACAGAATTGTATTTCCAAGGGATTTGTCTATCTCAAGGGCTTGAGAAAAGAGGGTATCAGCAGATCCAGCAGGGAGAGACACCAGTATGTGGCCTCTGATCTTGGGATTGCAGAGGAGTTAGGAACTGATTTCTGAAACCCAACCTTGTGCCATGTTCAAATCAGCTTGACACCTTCCTTGCAGGTTTGGCTGGCCTTTGCCACAGTGGTTCTCATCACCAGAAGGATATGTGGCTGTAACCATTGATATTTATCCTTTCAACCAATACTTTTTTTTTCCTGCAATGTCTTAGAACACTGAAACTGATGGCTTAGGAGAACAAAGCCTAATTATAATTCTGTCTTCCCTATCTAGTTATTTGGTATTCTCCTTTCATCCTGTTGCTGTGGTGTCAGGACCATGAGCAGCTTAGAGGAGAAAGAGGTTTATTTAAGCTTAAATGTTACAGTCCGTTAGTGAGAGAAATCAAGGAAGGAACTTGAAGCAGATATCATGAAGGAACACTGCTTGCTGGCTCACAGGTTTATGCTTAGCTAGCTTTCTTTTGCCGACCAGGACCATCTTCTCAGGGAATAATGCCACCCACAGTGGACTGGGCCCTCCTGCATCCATTAATAAACAAAATACCCCACCCACCCACACCCATGCACAAGTCCCCAGACAAATCCGAGCTCAGCAATCCCTCAATTGTCATTCTCTTCTCAGGTGAATCTATACTGCATTGGCAGTTAAAGCTCCCTAGGACACTTTGTATTTCTACTTCCTATTTTAAAACATTAATGCTCACTAACAAAAAAGTAAATATGAAAAGATGCAATATTGTAGACATGGAAAACTGTAGTATTATAGACCAGAAGGAGGCGATTTCATCTATTTGGAGTCAATAGGTGACCGGCTGGGCAGAGTTGATCATGCTTAATGTGGAGTTAAAGTGACAAGAGGTAGGTAACAAGAGAGAGAGATCATATCCACGGAGGTCTCACTAACTCAACCTTTTACTTAGTCTTGTTTTTAAATTTACCCCAGAGAGGAAATGTTCTGTTGACATCTACCATTTTTTTCCAATTATGAATTCAAAGATAGGAAATGAGCATTTTCTGGTTCTAACAATGGGTGTAGAGTACGGGCTTTGTAGTAGTGCTGGAGTCTACTCAAGTGTGATTTTCCAATGAGGCTTTATTCAAGCTCACTTTCTAGTGCATGCTTGCTATTTTCCAGGCACCTTCTCAAGTGATCTATATATAACTTAGCAACTCTATAAAACACTTATTATTTTTATCCTCATATTCCAGTCTGAGGGGGATGCCAAGAGACTCGGTGGTTTTCTTCAACTGAAACATAATTGATTTTGATTAGGAAACCATAGTAAGCCTTATGAGAATGAGGTAGAAGAGTAGAAACATGAAGATTTCACTAGATGAGGGAGACGATGCACAAGGGAGTCTGGTTATTCTTTGGGTATGGTATTTTAGGCTAAGGAAGCAGCACAGTGGGAATAAGCAACATGTTAGAATGTATGATATAGCAAAGATGTTTATATTCCTTAGCATAATCCTGCTTCATGGAATTTTCTAAAAGAAATGGTTTTAGAAAAATATAAAATAATGGTGTGTATATGTACACAACAATTTCAAAATGTTTTTCATAAAGTGAATGGAAAGCATATATACCCAAGAATTTAATGTCTTGGGGGCTGGAGAGATGGCACAGAAGTTACAAGCAATGGCTGTTCTTGCAGATAACTCTAGTTTGGTCACCAGCACCTCACATGGTGGCTCACAACTGTCTGTAACTCTAGTTCCAGTGTCCTTTCTTGGCTGTTTCAGGTACCTGAATGAATATGGGGCACATGCACACACAGAAACACACTCCCTCCCTCATATATATATATAAAAGTAAATCTTTTTAAAAAGGTATGACATAACTCCACACACATACACATAAAGTATCTATTTAACTGATTGACTAACTGACTAACTATAGTGAGAGAAACATGAGGAATGACATATGAAGTTGACCTCTGGCCTCCACACACACACAGACTCCTTTCTATGCATATATATACATACATCCACACTAACATGCAAACTCATACACTTGTTTAAAAAGAAAAAATGGCTTGATGACAGTTGTTCTGATATTTTTTAAATATAGGTGAGGCTTCCATATGTTGTGGGTTAAGACAAGGAAGTTAGAGCTCTGGGAGAAACTGGAGAGGCATTGCTGGTGGGTGGATTTGATCAAAACCCAGTGTGTGCATGAATGAAATTGTCAACAATAAAAAGAGTAAATGGTAAATAAGAGATAGAAGGGACAACTGACTGACAGGGTATGGGCCAGAAAGGGTTAAGAAGGCTTGGAATCAATAACTGTGGGAAGAATTTAAAGTACAAGAGGAGGGGTGGACACAGTTTTTAAAGACAGGCGGAAACAAGAAAACTGCAAGAGACATTTAAGAGCTGTCTAAAGGGGGCTTGAGAGATATTTGCTATTTTCCCAGGTTATACAGGGAAGTCAGATCAGGGATTTCATCCAGTTGGTGTCTCTAAAGAAGCTGGGATAATGAGGAAAATGTAACTGTGAACAGCAAAGACATATTTCATATGAGAATTTCATACTAAAGTGATACTGTTGGAATCAAAGAATATAATAGGGAAAGTAAAAGATGCAATGGAAAGAAAAATGATGATGGTGACCAAGAAGACAGAAAGGAGTGTGTCTCTATTGAGACCATTGGCAGAGGATTGTCAGTACCCATCTCCAGTTCTTTCCATTCATGTTCTTCTAAAAATGCTGAATTCCACTATGTACTCACCTCATTTAAGATACTGTAATGGTGTGACATATGGGCAGTGAGCTCAGGCACCTAGTCATCAGAGTAACTTGTTATTAATCTGCCCTCAGTGAGCTGTGTGACAAAGAAAATTGGACACCATTAGATTCTAAAGGCCAAGCTTTAAGGAATCCAGAATTCAAAATAGTGTTGTAAGTCATAGTTCAATGACTTTGTATGTAAAACCTCGCCTGTGAGAATGAGTGTGTGTGTGCGTGTGTGTGTGTGTGTGTGTATGTGTGTGTGTGTGTGTGTGTGTGTGTGTGT